CTCTAGGCAATATTGATGAAATCTCCACTTAAATCAATTTTAGGAATTTTTATAAGAAATAACAGAGAATGTGGAATTATGGATTTGAATGATACTACAATTTATCTCATTCAACCTGCTAGTTTTTTTTTTTAAATGAAGAAATTGAAGCTTGAAGTTGTTATATTTTCAAAGCTGAAATAAACTGGACATGAAGTCATTTTTTAGTATATCCCAAACTATTTTTAAAATGTTACATACTGTTTTTAGTTATGTACACCAAAATAAATTACACCAAATTACACCAAAATTTAGTGGCTTAAACCATCAAGTGTTTAAAACCTCAGTTTCAATGGATCAAGAATCTGGGTGCAACTTAGGGTGCAACTTAGCTGGGCGCCCTTGGTTTCTGGCGTCTTGTGGGTTTGCAGTTATGCTGTCAGCTGGGGCTGCAGCTCATTTAGAGGCTCAGCTGGGACGCAAGGAAGAGGCAGTACATTATATACTGGAACAGCACTTAGACCCAAGAAAAGATCAAGTGCTGCCATTTGTGACAACGTAGATGGACCTTGAGGATATCATGCAAAGTGAAATAAGTCAGTTGGATAAAGTCAGGAACCATATGATTCCACTCGTATGTGGAATATAAAACTTAAAGCGATGAGACAAACAAACCAATCTCATCAACACAGACAACAGTATGCTGGTTACCAGAGGGAAAGGGAAGTGGGGTAGAAGGAAGTAAAGGGTAAAGGGGGTCAAATATATGGTTTTAGAAGGAGATCTGATTTGGGGTGGTAAACAATGCAATAGTCAGATGGTGTATTATGGAATTATCCACTTGAAAAATATATATATAATTTTATTAACACATGTCATCCCAATAATTTTAATAAAAAATAAGGGCTCAGTAGGGCAGGGGGAATCTGCTTTCAAGACAACTTGGTTTTTTTACAGGCTTCAGTCCCTTGACACATGCATCTGCACAGGGCTGTCTCATGGCACAACAGTTGGCTTCCGCCAGGGCAAGAATTTCAGGAAAAAGAGAGGGAAAGGCATATGGAAATGACAGACTTTTTATAACTGAATCTCGATATAACATCCCATCACATTGGTTTTATTCTATTGGTTAGGTCTAACTCAAACTAAGGGGAAACTTCTAGACAGAATATGAATAATGGTAGGGAGAAAACATAAAAGGCCATATTAGGGGCTACCACATGTCTACTACATGCCCAGAGAAAATATACTCCCCAAGTACTTGTCAAATAAATTAAAATATTGATTTTACACCAAAACATCTCACAGATAATGAAAATATAGTGTCGATTAAATAATAGTATTCTATGTGTGTGATTCTTGCTAATTTTATACTGTGGAAGAGTGTGCCCTTGTCCTTGTGAAATATGCAGTGAAGTTTTAAGAACTAAAAGGGAAAGATGGTTTAAACATATGTACACACAGAACAAGAAAGAGAACCAGAAAGATCATTTAAAAGCAAATGTGGCGAAATGTAAAAAATGGTGAATTTGGGTAAAAAGGTTGAAGTAGTTTCTAAGGCTCCTGTAACAAATGACCACAACCTTAGTCACTTAAAAGCAACAGAGATTTATTTTCTCACAGTTCTGGAGGCCAGGAGTGTAAAATCAAGGTGTCAGCAGGGACAAGCTTTCTCCAGGAGGCTATAAAAGAAAATCCGTTCTTTACCTCTTCTCACTCCTGTGGCTGTCCGCATTCTTTGACCGTGGCTGCAAAACTCTGATCTCTGTCTCTGTCTTCTCTTTGCCTTCTTCTCATCTCTGTGGACCCTTTGTCTCTCTCAAATCTCCCTTTAACTTTCTCTTTTACGAAAACACTTGCCATTGAATTTAGGATGCATCCTAAAACTAGGATGATCTCCTCATCTCAAGATCCTTCATTTAGTAACATCTGTGGAGCCCTGTTTTACAAATAAGCAAACGTTACTAGTTTCCAGGGATTAGACATGGGCATATATTTTGGGTGTCTATTATTCAACCGACTACAGGGGTATAAAGGAATCCTTTGCACAATTCTTGCAACTTTTCCATAAGTTTAAAATTATTTAGGAGCAAAATATTAAAGAAAAAAACAGATGACATTGTCAAATGCTATAAGCAAAGATCATAGCATCTGACAAGCCAACTTTCTTTTTAAGATAAAACTTTAAAAAATATGTACAATATACAAAATTGGAATAAGGTGTTTTGTGAATTTGTGCTTCATCATCATTCACTGTTTGAAGTCAGTGGAGATTATGTGATGTCAAAACTCTCTTCCACGTTGTCTGGTCTCTCAAACTTTTGCTTTAATCTTCTTAGAACATTTAGGATATCAAAGGTCACTTTTATTTTAAAAGGAAGAGCCATGTTCTCAATTTTACTCTTTGTCGGAAGACTAAATGAGACTTTCTATGATGTTAATTGCCACAAGATGACAACTTTTTCTAAGGTAGAAGGGTCTTGAAGCCTCCAAAATATTTTTGTTTTGCTTGTTTGATCTTTGATTAGTTTGTTTTCTTTTTAAAAATGTATATTGAGCTTAAGAATCCCTTTATAATTTTTAAGCATTCATTCTGCCCTAAATTTGTTTGTTTTCTATGTATTGAATTAAAGTGAACTTATGTAGTCTTTCCACTGTGTAAAATGATAAATGAATAAATTCAATCAAGTAAGTCTATACCAGATAATAATCCATTCACATATATTTGAGACCATGAGACCCCAAGATAAGCATTCCACTGAAGCAATTGCAGGAAAAAACGTGAAATGTGCATGCATACACACATTCAACAATTTTAATCTTATACTGGGAAAGGCTGAGTAGCAATAGAATAAGGATGAAAGACAATATGCTTTGCTAACTATAATAATGAGGTACTTAACAATTGGGATTGGTCTCTCTAGAAATTGGTCTCTCTTGAGTCTTGTAGACTGTATATTTTTTTTCAGTATTCTATCCCCAGTGTCTAGCACATTATTTTTGTTAAGTAAAATAATTGGCTACGTAAGTGCATGTATCAGGAGTGATATAAGTAATTCACACAACAAGCAAACATAGTCAAGCTTAAGTGTATTGAAGTTTAAATAATCATGGGGATGATGGAACTTCTAATTACATGTGTGTGTATGTGTGAGTATGTGTATACATCCATGTGATGCTTTTTTCTTGGACAACCCTTAAGAATTGCGGCGTCTCAGACTAAAGCTGAATGTAACCTCAGGTGGTCATCTGGTTCTCTGCCTTTCTTCAAGAGACAAGCAATTATTATCCACATGATCTATTAAGCCACATTTTCTTTAGCATGTGACAGCTAAGGTGATGCTGATCAGAAAATATTGCTCTTCATTCTTAAACAATTTCACATGCACATGGATGTTTAACAAGCGCCTTTTCAGAGATATTATGAGAAAACACTAGCAGCCTTGGCCTGGAGGAGTAATTTATGACAGCAAGGTAAACGGTGTCCAAGATCACCTTGATCACATTAGCCATGCACCGCTGTCTTTCTTTAACTCTGTTGACAAGCGGGATAAAAAGAAAAAGAAAAGAAGAACACAATGAATGCTTCTTTTGCTGCATACTCCATTTCCTCCTTTAGTACCTGCTGCCTCCGATCATCTGTCAGTAAGCTAACCGAGGAGGGACTGGAAGGAGACACTGCAGAGGAGCGAGTGAGTGCGTGAGTGTGCAAGTGCAGCTAATAGAAGGCCTTGTGCTCGTTGCTCCCCTCTCCACCATCTCTCCCCTTTTAGTTCATTAACTAGAAATGTGGAAAGGTGAGGCAGATGAATTTCACTTGTTCTGACATTAGTTAGAGACAGAGAAGGGTGGTGACTTCCATAGGATTTCTGCCCCAGAGAGAGGTAATTGGAAAACGTGTTGTGTGGTTAGGTGTTGTAATGAAAAATAAAGGAATGATTGAGGAGAACAATGGAATCAAATTATAAGCATAAATGGAAGTGTGCTGAAGTTCTTAGCCACTTGCAAAATGGAGAGATATTATCAGGAATGTGCAAATACATTGCTCTGATTAATTTTCCTGGGGTGAAATAAGAAAACATTTATAAAATTGAGAATTCTGCCATAAGTACAATTTTCTGTATGATATAATAAACTAAAATAAGGCATAACTTGAATCAATCTCAAATGAAACATAATAAAGAACTGAATAGAAAGGTTTCACTGTGAGAGTAAAAATAATCTGTATTGGAGCATTACTCCAACTTGCTTAAAATGATGACTATTCAATAAACAAAGTAAAGACTAATCTATTTTAGATGGTTTTATATTTTTTTTAAATATTGTTACAGAAGCTGCATCATTTTACCCTTTATTTAGAACCCCTTTTCATGAATACAAAGCTGATTTTTCAATATTAATGTTAAGTGTGTTCAAGTTCAAAAGAATTAGATCTTTTGTTTCGATGACATTGAACAATTCAGTTGTAATTGATAAAGATTATGGTTGATTCCAGCTTTATTTTTAGTTGTGGAATGAAAGATTTTATTTGTATATTCTTTGGTAGATTTGTTAAGAATATATTTGAACAAATCGCTGACATAAAGGAAGGGTTAATTGAGAAAGACACATATTAATATATACAGTATTTCTCTTATATGAAGCTCTAGAAAGATTCTATTGTCAATCCAAACAGAACAAACTAAAATGAGATAATTGGGAAGGTGCCCATAAAGTCAGCCTGAATATATTATCACAACTATATATGAGATAATATTTGTTTTAAAAAGATTCTATGGCACTGTAAACTCAGTCTCATTAGAGACTGCATTTAAAAGGCTTATAAAGTTACTCATTAATGTTATCTTGTTGTATCTCCACAGCTTTTTCATTAAAGAAAATTCAGCAGAAAGCATTTTCTCCTGATAGCAGGAACCAATTTGCAATAAATGTTCTGGAAACCACTAGGGAAGCCATTACTGAGGTCTAATAAAAACAGACAAGCGTAACTTGTTCTATATTTTTGTTTCAATCACATACAGATGAGACCCCGCTTTCCACACCAACCGCAAGAGACAGCCTTGACAAACTTTCTCTCACTGGGCATGGACAACCACTACCTCCGGGTTTTCCGTCTCCTTTTCTGTTTCCTGATGGCTTGTCTTCCATAGAGACCCTTCTGACTAACATACAGGTAGGCCTTTTTGCAGTCTGGAAGAAAGGAACGTGAAAGCCCAGCTGAAGATTTTTACCGAATTGATACTTTTCCAGTTTAATCCACTCATGAATTTGACTTAACATCGTATTGAACATTTTATAGCAATTTAAGATTTTAAACTTGCAACACTAATCAAACTGGTTTAGAAATACACAAATATGTATAATAAGACCATAAAAACTTAAGTAAAAATGACGTAGGCATTTAAAAAAATCATTTTGCCTAAATGTTTTCCTGATTGCTGACTAACGGGAAGAATTTAACTGTTTAAGTTTGTCTGATTTACTAAATGACGGCACACTAGTTCTAATAAATATTTAGTTATTTTTAAACTGTTGGCCTTCGAGTGAGGAAATGATATGTTTAGTCATTTAAATATGTCTAGTATAAAAGAATCCAAAAAAAATCTCTTCTTTTGTAAATAAGTTTGTTTCAGTTAATAGGATTTCTTCAAAGAATAGACTTCAAAAAGCCATACAAAACTTTCCACGGATTTCCTATGTAGTTCTCAGGATGTATATTTTACGTACAGTACATTATGAATCAAAAATACTTGCAGTTAACAATAACATAGAGCATGGAGCCAAAATAATAAGAGTGTGTGGGATAAAAGAAAGCATAATTTTCTGCCCACACATGAAGTGATCATGTGGGCCCCAGATGGAGACTTTGCCATCTACTTCCCCATATTTGGAATAGCTGGTAGCAGGAATGTGCTTGCTGATACTGTGCCGGTAATATACATTTTAAAATTTTTACTCTAGCACTTCATCCTTAGTGATATTTTTCTGTACACATTTCCTAGCATATTAAACTTTCTCCCAGTAGAAATGTAATTAATTTTATTTACTTCTCCAAGGACATAACAGAAGGCCTTTAATGTAACATATCTTCTCATCTATTAATATGGCATTTTTAATACTAATATAATTAGAGTCTCCAGAACTGCATTCAACTTAAAGGTTTTATATCTCAGTAATTGAAATAAATAATCAATCTGGCCTAAATTTAATCAAGGCCAAATCGTTGATTATATTTTAAAGTAAACATAAGACTTTTTCTAAATTTGACCCATAGTATTGTTTACTATGAGGTAGAGTTTTACAATTTTTCTCTTTTGTTAAATGCTTTCAGAAAATATCCCTCAACGCTTTTGAATTTACACTGTGAAAAGTAAGGGAGCAATTCCTTTTTTTAATGTATACAACTCCATATGAAGCAAAGAGAAAGCAAAGCATCTACTTAAAATTCTCATCCAGTTGTATGTGTCTTCACTAACTAAAACCTCTTTAACCTGGAAAGTGGTCATTTAATTTGAACTTCAGCAGAGGAAACTTTTCTGGGTTTCTTCAGTGTAAAACCAGCTCGCCCACCTGAATGGTGGTTTACACATGGACTCTTCCGTTGTGTGAACACCGTGTCTCCAAAACAAATACTGTCTACTTGGAAGTATTCACCCACCCCAGACCAATATCACCCAGACTAGAAATGTTATCCACATCACTTCAAACTAACTATTCCTTTAAAAGAAAAAAGGAAAACAAAGTTTTACAATGTATATATTTAGACATTTATTTTATTGATGACATCTCTAGATGTAATATACTCTCCTTTCTAACCTCCAGATAGCCTTGAGGACATATTTTAGCAAAAGTTGGTGATAGGATAATAGTCAAGGCAAACTAAATTATTTCTAGTTCTAAATCATATGGATCTGGCACTGTAAATGTTAGGATTCCTACAATAAGAACACACATTAAAAATAAATTATACCTGTCCAATACAGTCTTTTGTATATGTAATGTGAATATAGATGTAGATATTATATATTTTATGTAACATATATATTTATATATATCTGGACATGCACATATGTGTCCATAAGGTAAAATAATAATTAAAAATCTTACAGAGTTTCATGGACAGTTTTATATATATGTGCACACACAAAATATATATGTACCTGTTCACATATACACACATATATACTGGATCTTTGGTTAGTAATGGTGTTACAGAAGCTCCTAGATGCTAGCTCTTTTAATATTGCCACATTTACTGAGTTATAGCAATATCTTTAAATGGTATAGTATGTTTAAACAGTCATAACCCGGCTTATTGGGCATACAGTAGAAATGTGTTTGCTGTCCAAATTCTAATTTTGGTAATTGCATTCTGCCTACCTCAATTTCCTCTGCAAGTTCAATTATATGCAGTGGTTTCTCTGCTTTCTGTTTCATTAGGGTAACATTTTTGGCGTGGCAAGTTTTTCTCTGGAGGTATTTTATCAGGATAGCAATGAAAAATTGAGTTGAAAATGTTTAATTTTTTAAATTATACAATTTCATGTATGAAATTCTTATGCATATTTTCTATTTTAATTAAACCCAAAGCATCAGGTTATATTTAAACTTAATGTACATAAAGTTTATTTTTCTGAGAACCTTTGAAATACTATGTTTAAGAAGTAATTTTTCTAATATTCAAGAATTTAATTTCATGATATTCTATAATAATTCTCAATTTTAAAATTTGGTTTACTATAGATGTTCCTTCCATGACATATTATAAAAATCGAATTTTCATAATTTTTTTGTGTTTTAAAAAAGGACCTGTAGAATAATACTATATATAGTATGCTTATTTTTAAATATACTATATATAGTATAGAAAAACACTATATATATATACATATATATGACCAGATTTTTATTAACTCTTTCTTAAAACTTGAGTGTTTTAGAAATTAAAAGTGGTAATGGATAAATATATCTACAGTAAAAGATAGTAATTTCACTTTAATGAGAGATACGATGCAGTCTCAATTTTGCTTTTATGATTTTTAACATTTTTCTCTTATATGAAATTTAATTTTATGTTTTTAAATGTTGGAAATCTTTTTTATATGTCCATGGAGAACTCCCTGTGAAATTTCAAGTGAGGAAACCAGAAATTTAATGTCAATTTACTAGATGTGACACTTACAAACACTGACTACCATTTGAACACACTCAAAAGAGAATTTTACCCAGTATTCTTAATCTGAACTTTCATGCAATAAATCATACCTTGGATCTATGAGTACATAGATTTGAGAACATAAAATATGCATTGTTTATCTGATTACATGAATTATTTTAAATAACTTATAAATATTAAAATAAGAATAGGTAAATAAGTAAAAAGTAGAAATTAAAATAAAGGTAGAGGATATAAAATTTAGCTAAGGATGAGGTTGGCATTGAAGATATATGCCTCTTTAAGGGCATATATGACAGGAGTTTGGTTCACTAGAGTTTTTCTTTATGGTAGAATTAAACAAAAAATAAAGACACGAAAAGAATGTTAGAACAACAAAATAGAGCACTGGCTTCAAAATGTGGGAAGCCTGAGGTCAGATATGCTATTCTTACAGTTTACTATGAGGAAAAGAAAGCATTAATCTCTTAAAAATCTGGAGTACATTCCATATTTACCATTGTATATCATAAATACTCTACTATAACACTACTTCATTCCTGACATTTCTGGTCATCAAATGCCTGGTAGTTTTCCCCACAGCAACAAATTATGCAACACCAGGTGGGTGCCCCACAGTTTAACTCAGTTCTGACACTGTCTTCCTGGAGAATCTGTCCCACAAAACTGCTCCCACTCCCACTTCAGATGCCAATTCCAAGTCCAAGTTGTAACTTGTGCTTCTGACCAACTGCCTATAGGTCAGAGGTTCCCATGACCACTACTCAGGCTCAATTAACTCATTAGAGCAACTCACAGAACTCAGGAAAACATTTTACTTGCTAGATTCACAGTTTTTTATGAAAGATGTACTTCAGGAACAGCCAGGTGGAAGTGATGCATAGGGCAAGGGATTGAGTAGGGGCTCAGGGCTTTCATGCCCTCCTTGGGCATACACCACCCACCTAGCACCTTCAGTTATTGACCAACCCAGAAGTTCTTCCTTTTGAGTGTTTCTGGAGATTTCACTTCCTAGGCACAACTGATTAAATTATTCATCACTAGTGATCAGTTTGATCTCTAGCCCCTCTGCCCTTCCTGGAAGTAGGAAGGGTAGGACTGAAGGTTCCAACTGTCTAATCACACTGCGGGTTCTCCTCACAGTCAACGTCTATCCTAACCGGCTTTCCAACAGTGACCTTATTAACATAAACTCAGGTGTAGTTGAAAGGGGCTTATTATGAATTACAAAAGACATTGATTTTACCTTTCCTGCCCTTATCACTTAAGAAACTCCACCCATTGTAGGATTTAAGTGCCAGGAAAGAGCATATATACATACACACATCTTAGTATAAATCACAATAACAGAGTTGGTCTCTATGCTGATTATATACAATATTACATTATAATCTTCTTTATAAACCAACACAGTGGATTTTGTTGTTATCCCATTCTACAGATGAGAAAATGGAGGCAAATAATCATCTGATCAAGGTTACACAGTGTCGGTGATGTTTGAATTTAAACAAAGGCAGGCTAATTTCAGAGCCCAGGTTGCCATATTGCCATACAGGTCCTATGAATCACAAGACCGATTTACACCTGGAAGTGCTTTTGATAGAGTCCCTCATTGACCCACTTTGGAGAACAGTAACCATAATATTAAACCAAGTGTAGCTGTATCTTTTGTTATAGAAATGTCTGAGAAAAATGAATCAGTCAATACTCTTCTATCATAATTTTTTTCTGTCTACAAATGTTCCTGATTTAAAGAGACATTAATTTTTCCCCCATTGCAGAAAGAAACATTAAAAAGAAAAAAAAATAAGATTCAATAAACTGGATATTTCTGATCTAGGTTTAGTGAATTTACTAGTTTGTTATCTTGGAACAAGTCACCTGACCCTTGTGAACGTTGGTTTTCTCATCTTTCAAAGGTTTTAGTTAAAATGGGTGATTACTAAAAACCCTGTCAAATAGAAATCACACATTATTGAGCACAAATTTTGCCATATGAGTTTCAGTGACACTCTGGGAGCCTCACTTACCACCTAATTCTGAAATAAACTCACCTAAAATACAAACATGGACCAAGTAAACTTTTCCTCTGTGATCTAACCAACAGATTAAGGAAGTTTCTTTCATATCAGTATTACTTTAGGTCCTTTTATGCAAACAGAGATTTGTACTTTCTAGGCTATATACTAGAAATCATTGAAACATTGTTAGATCAATTATAGGGCCATTTTAAAAGGAAATATACAGAGATACATTCTTGGAAAAATTATGAAAATAATTAAATTTACAAGGTAGATCATTTTAGAAAACAAAAATATGTCTGTGTTATGACAACCATTATGCCTCACTTAATGGAAAAGAAATTTGAAGCCTATCAGCAATTGTCTCCTATAATTGCTGTGCCATGGAGAAAGCTTAAAATGCATTTCTTTAGAATTGTCCTTGTCCCATAGACATGGACAATGGTGTGGGGATTGACTATGGAAGTCGGGGGTGGGCTGGGGGGTGGAAAGGGGATAAATGGAAGATCTGTAACAGCATAAACAATAAAAAAAGAAAGAATTGTCATTGTCCAACTTCAAGATCATGAGAACTGTCCTCCCTTTGGAGAAAAATTTATTCTTTAAACCTTGTGTCTTTTACTATAATTCACACTGTCATCACAGAATTTTGCTCATACTTCATGTCCCCATGCAACCCAGCATTTAGCATGACCTTTGGCACGTGATCTGCCTGGAAATTTACAGAAGTTATACAAATCTAAAACCACTCTTACCACTGACAGTTAAAATGGTGTCCTAATCATTTGTAGATGTTGTGAGCACCACTTGCTATAGCTTTTCCCAGCCCCCTGCTGCATTGACATTTAATCAGTTTTCTGCATTTTCCTCAGCAGTCTGTCACAGGCAATAACATATTTTTGCATATGCATCAGCTTGGCTTTAGTGCAGACTTTTGTTCACACTGGACTCCTACTGATATGTACTGATTTAAAGTCTAAAAATGAAACTTAATTTTATGCAGTTTATAAGTAGTCTCTAGAGGGTATTGGATCCTAAACGCTAATATTTTTCAGACATAATCAGCAGGAAAGGTTATGTATTACGATTAGCTACATTAGCAGCAACTGTTACAAAAGGAAACAGTAAACATGAATGCTCTTACCAACTTCATACTTTATAAGAAGTATTAATATAAAATTACAAATTAGGGTTGCGGTTTAATGTTATTCAACAAGTTTATGCATAATGATTATTTCATATTTAAAGAACACCAAAATATTGTGTTTTGTCAGCCAAAGACAATAATAATTTAATAGTAATTTATTTTAAACAGCTACTGATAATACAACCAATCAACACATCAGGTGGTGCCAACATTGGCATCTTGCTAAATAATCTCTAGACATCGCACAGAGAGTACATTTTTCAAAGATAAGTCAACAAGAGCAATCAGAGCAGAAAATTAGAATTTGGTACCTTAGAATTAAAATACAGCTAAACTAAAGTTTTAATTGGGGTGATCTAAAAGGGCACTTGATGTAATGATCTCTTTCATTTGTTACTAATTGTTTGTTCTTGATAAAGAAAAACATATATAGGAATGTTGCTGAACTGAGTAAGGATGGCAGTTTCCTGAGCAGCTATGTTTTATTGTTAAAAAGAAAAGGGGGGTGGCAAACTGTTGTGTAGAAATCCTTCATCTTGTTTCATATCACAATAATTAATCCCGGGAATTCAGGGTCAGGCATAACGAACATGAAATAATGTATATGTGCTTGAAAAGAGACTAGAGACGACATTTGACAGAGCCACGATATCGGTCTTCTGAACCCATGGACTACCACTTGTCTGCTAACAAGTCAGGGTGGAGCTGCAGTTGCTGATTCAGGCTGCGTATGTAGATCTAAAAATGGTGCCAACTTCCATTTCATATACTTTCAATTGAAAATGTTAGTCTCTGGTGTTCGTGGACCAAGGCAAACTATCTTCTACTTCCAGAGAGTTTTTTGTATTCCCAAGTTAATTTTACTGATAATTTTCTAAAACACCTGAGGAAAGAACAGATGCAAAATGCTTTGCTTTACCTATTCTCATAACCTTATTTTTAAAAATCTCAGAATATTATTCAATTTTTTAAATAACATACAGTAAATCAAATGTAAATATAAGATTCCATAATCACTTGCATCAATAAACACTGCTTTTACCATATGCTTTTGAATCACTATACTGTCAAATAGTCCCCCACTTGTTAATCTTTATCATAACCATTTGAATGACTTCTTAAAAAACAATGTAGTATTAAGACTTAAGTTTTAGATCCCTTACATATATTATATATGTCAATAAAAATATACCAGTATTATAATTTTTACTCATCAAATGTTTAAAATCTACTATATTTAGGCACTCTCTGGGCTCTAGGGACATATTACCAAATGAGAAAAAATGTCCCTGCCTCAGAGAGCTTACAATTTAGCACAGGAGACACAACATAAAGCAGCAAACACATATATGACAATTTACATAATAATTGCTATGAAATTTTTAAGAAGGTACTAACCAGGTGTGTTTGGAGGCCTATTTCAGATCGGATGGTAAGAGAAGGCCTTTCTTGAGTGGTGATGGAGCAAAAGTGAAGTAAATGAGAGCATGAGCCATACAAAAATTGAGAGCAAAAGCGTTCAGGAAGGGAACAGGAAGAGCAAAGTCCCTGGTGGCCTGAGGAATATAAAGAAGCCCACTCTACTGGGTATAATTTCAGTAGGGATGGTGAATGAGCTACAAGGGGTAGGTGGGTACAGTCAGGAGCACTTGGGGTTGCATAAACCATGTCAGATAGGGACTTGTGGAAGCGTTTCAGCTCTGATTTTGAACTCAGTTCTTACCTCTTCAACTTGCTTATCTGCTGCCCTCATTTAGCTTTAAATTTAGATGCTCTAATTAGAAACAATGAAACCTAAATGCCAAAAATATTTGTCTTCCTAAAATATTTTCATTAGATTTAGAAAATTTGTGTTTTAATTATAGTGCTTGTCCTAGTGAGTACAGAGTGAATGCACAAGAAAGGAAGAATTTGAGAAGTGGTCACTTCTCTTTTAAAATGCTTTTAAGTAATGAATGAAATGTGCTTTGTACCAAAATATTACAATTCTGAATACCTTCTCTGTACAGGGGCTCTTGAAAGTTGCCATAGATAATGCCAGAGCTCAAGAAAAACAGGTCCAACTGGAAAAAACCGAGCTGAAGATGGATTTTTTAAGGGAGCGGGAACTAAGGGAAACCCTCGAGAAACAGTTGGCTATGGAACAGAAAAATAGAGGTATTCTCAAACTTCCAAATAACCTTAACACTTCATGTAAAATATTTAAAATAACACTACTGTGCTTGGTGATTTTCTATGAGACTATACTTTTTGCTTTTACTTGTAGCTAAAGTTCAAAGCAGGATTTGAATCCCAGACTCATTGTATTCCTAAATCTCCAGAGTACATGGTTTCTCTTCTGTTCATACCTCAGGATATTGAAATATACCATTATATCATTAATCACATAATTTTTATTGTTTATGAGTTTAAAAAACTCATAATTTTAAGACTGACAGCCATGAAGAAAATATTTATATTTATTCACAATTGCCATTTGAAAAACTTGAGTTTAAATTATAAAGGTAAGATATAAAATACTGTTTATTCAAGTGAAATGATTTGGTAGGATATTTATCAAGTGAAACTGAATACTGATGAATATCTGAACAAATGACCAAAAGTGAGTGTTTGTATAATCATCTTTCTGAAAGTCTCATTTTTATCCAATAAGGTCAAGTTCACAGGAGAGTAGAAACCTATATCAATTTTTATTGGGTAAAAATAACGATACTATCAATCCATTAATCAATCTATTAATTGCTTCTTTTAACACACTTTACAATGTATGTATACATAATTTTGAAGGACATATTTATTTATGTTTTTATTTTATGTATGAGACTGAGAAATATTTTGTTTATACTAACTTCCCTTTTGCCTCAACTATACATTTCTCCCAAGCATTCTAGGAGTGCTTCTTTCCTCTCACTTCATAACTATCTGTAATAAATATTGCACATATTCTCCTTTTATATGTTTAACATGGAGATTTAAAAATCTTTATTTTGCTTTTAAAACTCTCAGGACTTAGTATGCTCTTCCATTAGTTACTGTGAAGCAACAACTAGTAGGTTTCTGGGGTAAGGTTGATTTGGGAAATTGTCACTCCAATTCCCTTGTATAGAACTCTACAGTTCTATAGTAGAGTTCTGTAGTTCAGTTCTGAATAATATGGCTTCAAATAGATTTAGGTATTAAAATAATCAGAACAAGATAAACATTGATAATGTGGTATGTTCCAAGAGCATAATGTAATTTGGTCAGAGTTCATTATGTGGAACCATATTCCGTAAGATAGCCATGTCTTGATTTTGTTTGCACCTGGAAAAGTCCTTTTTTTTTACAAGATTTAAAAGTAGACCCTTGAATTCCTAAAGTAAGCTTTTGGTTACTTGAGGGACCATTAGAGTTTTACTGGTTTAAGCCTGTTGGAGAATTTACACTGTTTTATTTATTTAACCAGTAGAGGGCAAAATGTTTCACATATCACACCATGAACCTCCCATTTCATTATGAACGATAAGTTAAAGGTAATACGTGTCAATAATTATCTGTTATGAATGTATCTATTGAAGCAATGCGTTACCCTGAAGAGAGGACATGGCAATCCCATCTGATTCAATCGCATGGGAAGAAACACGGTGAGCAGTCAGTGAGGAGGCGATCGGTGCTGAGCTCCTGTTGCCATGGGGGTGCACCATCCAAATAAATAATTCAAAAATTAGTGTAATCCAAAAACAATGACAACAATGTGATTTAAAAAAAGGAATTAATATTGCTTTTCAAAGAAACTTATAAACAATCATCTTTGAAAAGGGAAATAGTAGGCAAGTGATTTTGTTAAGACGAGCATATGATTTTCACACTATCAAAGGAATTAGCATAGTTAATTGAAACCAGTTTTGTTTCTCCTATAAGACTGTAGCCAATGTACAGTTTCTGTTAATATAAGATACCTGCAACAATAAACTCAACAAAGTAATGATCTGCCATCTTAACAATGGTAATTATATATATTTATAAATAGGATATGTAGGCATTGGAAATTGAAACTAAAATTTTTTTAATGAACCATATTACCCTATTTTATATATGGACTAACTACTGAGTTAAAAATGTTCTTCTTCTTTAATCTGTAGTAAGAAATCAAATAGTACACTTGAAATGATTGTTCCTTATTACTAACTCTACCAGAAGGATTTTCTCATATTGAGTCTGTCACATTTAATTCCATAATGTTTATCAGCCATCAAAAAAAAATTATTTCAAAGAAAAACATCTGTGTGCTTCCTGTATGCTGATTGCTTACCTTATATACCCATTGTAAAAGTTAAAACAATTGCCATCCTGAAAATACAGTTAACATGCATTTTATGAAGAATGTTATTTTTATTAATTACATATTTTATACAAATATATAAATTGTCCAGTAAGGAAAAAAAGTTACCATAATCAACTTTTTGTATCATAATCTACCTTCTTATACCACAGCGCTTTATTGTTAGCAGTAGCATATTAGTTTTAGCAGTGAGATTTTATACTGCACCAAATTCCTAAAGAATAATGCATAACTTTCTTGAAATAGGTTACAGTATATATAAATTTGCTATGAGGACATTATTAAAGTTATTATAATAACTTCTTCCCAAAATATGCTTTTATACATCTTAACAGTAATTAAGAATATTTAGCTCCTCTTACACAATATTATTGCATTTTCTAAAATTTCAAGAAAGAATTATTAAAAATTTAGCTCATATAACAATGTTCTGTAAAACATTTGTAAGGGAAATACTTATAAGGGAAATATAAGAGTATTTCCCCATTTACTACTCAGAACTGGTGCTTCATAGATAGGAGACACACTTATAAGGTTAGCACTATTCTAAAGTACTCTGCACTATTCTGATTCAAGGGCAGAGACTAAGCCATAACAGTTCCTTAATTAGGCTTCCTTTATCAGTGAATTCAAATATTTACTAAAATTAGTTTCCCATTAAACCTGTCTCTACATTTGACAATTAAAGCCATTCTTATAATGTAATATATTTCAAGGCTAAGTAAAAGTTGGCCTTCTTGGACATTTTACTGGGATTTATTTTAGGTGAAGGTGGGGTTTTTTGAACTTCTTTGCATAGGTAAATTCAAACCAGTGAAGTGGTTGTGGTGAGAAGAATATTATAAAAAAGATAGATCATTTATAATTTTGAACATTGCAAAATTTAGGAAAAATAATGTCCACTCTCTTTTCTAGCCATAGTTCAAAAGAGGCTAAAGAAGGAGAAGAAGGCAAAGAGAAAATTGCAGGAAGCACTTGAATTTGAGACAAAGCGGCGTGAGCAAGCAGAACAAACACTAAAACAGGCAGCTTCAACAGATAGTCTCAGGGTCTTAAATGGTAAGAGGCTGCATCTCTATGAGTGGCTAACTGTCTTTTGTTTTGAATACTCAAAAGACAATTTAGACATGTGTTTGTGATTTTATATATTTCTATGGCCTGTCTGTTATTAAACTGTGCTTATAGCTGAAAGTGTGGTGCAAAGAAGAGTCACATGTGTTGGGGGGAATGAATTATTTTATAGGTGCTTCTGTTATTTTGTTACTTAACTCCCATTATCTGGAACCTGACATGGCTTCTCTGTTTAATCAAATCTGTCTCTACAGAAACATAATAAAGTAGTAATCTGAGAACTTCTCAATCCTCATCCCATTTTATGAACAAATGTGTGTTATTTACCTATTCAAATCTTTTGATAATTCTTATGGTTACAGTCTTTGTTTAACCTTTAAAAGATGACAAAGATTTTTATAATTTTAATTCAGCACCAGAATAACAGGTTGCTCTTTTTATAAAGGACAATAAGAATCAAATGAAATGTGTGTCACTCGTACCTTTCTGTGCTTTTAGACTCTCTGACCCCAGAGATAGAAGCTGACCGCACCGGCGGCAGAACAGATGCTGAAAGGACAATACAAGGTAGGAATTTGCAAAAGGCTATAAATCTCGATCTTGCTCTATGAGTTTTTCCTCAGCTTTAGCCTGCTATTCAAGCATGTAGCCTACCATCTGGGCCACATCAAAACAAGTTCAAACAAGGTCAAGTTCATCTTGCTTGTTTATATGAGTGAATTCATTTTGTGCTGATAGATTTTCTTTAAATTAACAGGTCATTTCTGTTTATACAATGCAATTAAAAAGGAATAATTAATTTTAAACAATGTATGATTTAATCTTGGACGCAGTATTGAATGCTTAAAGCCCAATATAATGCAGGAAGGATTTATAAGTTCTATTCTATATAAATAAAATCATGGTATAATCAAATAGAGAGTTTTTAACATTTGAAAATTCTTCTTGTTTTGTGACAGTTATTGCCAGGGACATGCAAAATAGACTAGTTGATTGTTATAAATAAGATAGTTTAGTCATACATGGATTTTCCCAATGTTCTGCATGCCATTATATACATTTTAATAACACAAATCTGCTGAACAAAATCATATGTAGAATACTAAAGGGAGTTGTGTTACATACTCAGAGGAGCTAAATATATATACTGCCAAGACCACACTATGAGGAAAGGACAAAATTTGAAGGTAGCATTTATAGTCTAGCATTTAATCTACACAGTGAACTTAGTCTAACTTCATGAATACAGAACAGTAAAAAGAGCATTTGTTTTCTATTTCAAATGAAGATGATTCTTCAAACGAGGCCTAAAATGATTAACTGCTATAATCCTCCCGATTACTTTTATTTTGCATTTTAAGCTCAGTCATTTTGGGGATTTTGTTTGACATTAATTGTGTTACTTAATCAGCTCCAAATGTGTCATTCTTAGTTCTGTATAAAGAAAATATATTTTTGTAAAGTATCATATATGCAAGAAGTAAATATCAGAAACTTGAAACATTCCTAGAAAATGTTTTTTGCCTGTGTTTATTTTACCTGAGGCCATGATAATTATTTTTTTTAAATCTTAAACCTTGAAACATATGTTATTATGACATCTCCTTGGATATACAAGATTAATGCAATTGTAAATGTAGAAAAGACTTCATTTTTTAAATCTTGTGGATTTCAGCAAAATGATATATATGTACATATAATATTAAAATCATAAGATTTCTGTTGCATTTCTTTTAAAAACTGCAAACACATATTAACAAATTACTAACAAAGCCAGTCTTCTTGATCAGGACTGATAATCTTACAAAGGCCAATGTAAATATCAGCCCTGGCTAGCATGAGCAGGGGTTGGTTATTCATGCATTGATTTAGCTAATGTCCAAAGAGGTCTAAGAAAGCACATGAATCTCGAGGTAGATGTGACATATAAATTATATATGTCCACAGAATTTTCAAGATGGTCACAGCTCAAGTTAAGAAAAATTAGGGATAATGTATTCTTGCACATAAATGGGAAATTTGTCATTAATATTAAGAAATGTTTAGGCAATGATTGAACATCTTTGCATAGTTGACATATATTTCATGAGTCCACTATCAGAAATATTTTAGCCATCAATAAGGCTATGGCTATTATTATTTGAGTCTTTAAAATTCACATATATTTAAGTATATACTTTAATATGGATTACATCTTACTGTATGAGGTTGAAATATTGAGAATTTTCTTCCTATTGTGATTTTCTTTCTCCAAGGAAAGCTTTTAATCATAAATTGCCACCTTTTTTACTACTCAGAATGCTATTATTCGGATAACATAAATAACCTACCAAAACAACTTTCTCATTAAGAAAACAAAACATTTGAACAAATATACATAGTAACTTTAAGCCAAATATAAATAATTATGAGGTTATTTATTGCTTTGGTTTAATTGTATAATGAAATCACTCATTCATTCATTCAGCTGCTCAATTAAAATGATGCGTTCCTCAGATTTAATGTGAATAATCAGTAATTTTCTACTTTTTGCATATTTACACTTGGATTTAATAATTTTAAGATTGTATAATGCACAGTTGGTTTTCAAATGTATTTTTATCAAATGTAATTAGAAATACTGTATATGAATCTATATTTTTATGTGTTACTTGCTAAACGGTTATTTCACCAACAGTTGAACTACCCAAGACTTTTAAAATACAACAGCAAAGAGATCATCTTGGGCTACTCTTAAGTCCACTAAACAAGCTCATTCAGCCCTTTGAAGTTTGTTTTTATTTTTAATCTTAGAAACTAAATCTACATATTTGGGAGCTAACAATAAAATTAACAGTAAAGGAAAGAAATCAAAAGAAAAAGATTGTACTTAGTTAAATTCTGAGTGTGAACACAAGAACGGGAAAGGCATAGAAGAAAGACCCAGCACTCATCACCAACTTGTGAAATGGCCGTGCCAGGCATTTGGGGAGCCAGGAGCACCTGCTGCTTCACAGCTCGGGAATGACGCACATGCAGCCGCTTGCTCTGTCCACTTCCTTCTCTCTCAGTGTCCCCAAGCCCACATGTTACGGCACTCTTTGTACTCTTTCTTGCTCCCAATCTAACCATACCTGAAATTATTCTCTATTCCAAAATAAACTCAACTTAATTAGAACAGACAAGGGAAACCCTCATTCCTTCATGTGTGCCATGTATTCATTTAATTTTAATTTTGTATCAATAAAAACAATGCCATGCTTGACCCAAGAGTCAGTCACCTGGCCATGGGGCACTTCAGTACTGCTCAAGTTCCGAGGAATTACCTCCTGCAAGGACCTGAGGTCAGACTAAATGCTGCCTCATTGGCAGTTAGTACCATGATTTCTGCAAAACTGTAGAGGTGGGGAAGAGGAAATAAGAAAGCAGTTTATAATGTACTCCTGAGCAAAGAGGCCCTAAATAACTTACTTATCTTGATAAGTAAGGTGCAATATATCAGCTCATACTGCACAGGAATAAATTCTTCATTACTGATATTTCTAATAAATAACTCACAGTTTATGGATGTGGAGGAGATATTATGAATGTAGAATAAACATCCAAAAATTAAAACATAATGACTAGTTTAGGAGCTGAACCTCATGGTGATTAACTCTCTTGTATCTTGAGTCTTATAGGTTTATTTATGTGATGATTTGTGTTGGAGTTTGAAAAACTTATTTTTAAGCTTTTTGTAAGATTTTTTTGAATATATACAGTAGACATAGTAGTTATAAATATTCATTGAGAACATTTTTGGACTAGTCAATAAAGAGCCTCCAATACCCCCTCTGTGTGTGTGGGTAACACATACACACACTATATGCTGCCAAATCTGTCACAGGATGGCTTTCTTTAAGCTAAGTCCTAGTCTCTTTTTTCTCTCTCTCTAAGCAACAGCATCCACCTAAGTGGCTTAACTTACATATTTTGACAACTCTAAAAATATATCTTCTCATCCCATTGAGACATCGGTTAAGAGCTGCAGATAATGCCTTTTATTTGGCTGTCTCATAGGGACGTCAGTGTCAGTGCACAAAACAGAAAGGATCCTCCACCCCTGGCCCTGCGAACCTGTCTCCTCCAGGACTTTCTCCCTGTGGTGCCCTCATCTGCCCAATCCAACATCCTCCTAATATGCAATGAGGGGAGTCAGCTGGACACTTCCCTTCCACGCCCTTTACACCCATTCAGAACTCTTCCCCTTCTTTCTCTGTGCTTTTATTACACTGGAATTTTTTGATTTCCTGAAACCTTCGCATCTTTCTCCTCCTACCAGGGATATGTCTCCCTTTCCGCTGTCTCTACTTGCCCACCCCTTAAGTCTCACCTTGTAAGTTACTGCCTTAAGGAATCCTTTGTGGACGCCACCCCTGCCCCGGATATAGGTCACCTCTTAGAGGTTCTGGTCACACCGTTCACTTCTCCACTGCAACACGCTGTGCGCTTGTAGTTCCTTGATCAAGTCTCCTTTCTCGCTGCAAGGTGCCGGCAGAGGCGTGCCCGTTACGTTCACTGTGGCATCCCCAGTGCCCTGCAGAATGTTTGACCCATTCCTGAAGAAGTCTGTCAACCGCTGGATGGATTAGGATCTACATTAGATTTTGTGGATGCCTAAGACCCTATTGTTCTGACATGTCTCAGAGTTTTGTTAGAGAGACTAATGAGAACAAATAAAGGATAATATGATTCTATCTAGGAACGCCAGAATTACAAATTCAGGCAGAATTAATTTTTATTTCTGATATATGAATTAATGGTATTTGTTTATTTTTCTTGTGGGCATTTCTAATAATTCTTTCTTTTTGTGCATTTGGCCTAAGGTTTTCATTTTGTGAACATTCACTTGCATTCAATTTTTCATTTTAAATTTATATTTAATTTAACATGCCATAGTCCCATTTCTTAAATAACGCTTTATTCTTTGGTTTAACATGCATTATTAACTTCATGCTTCTTTTTTATGTATTTCATATAATGTCAACTGATGAAATTGTCCACATATATTGTTTAGGTGATCAAGAAGTAGACATGAACCCTAACATGGAGAATCGTGAATTAGTCCTGTTTTTATCTATGTCTCGTGTAAATTTCCAAAATGTTTACAAGTTCACTTTTGAAATAGTGCCTGTTGCTTTTTCTAAGTAAAAAGCTGTCCTCTTAAAACAAAAGGTAACTGTTAAAATCAATAGAAATGTAAACCACAGTTCCTCTGACATCTTAGAATATCTGTAAATTATGCTTGCAAAATCTTGACTTCCCTTGAAAGCACATCTCTTTTATTTACATTCAATAACCATAGTCAAACTATGTTTGGCTTTTTTTTTGACTGATCTCAGTTCATAGAAAACCAAACATTCTTCCAAATTACAGACATAAAAAGACTTGCCTTCCTATTAGCAATCTTTTTTTCCCTAATTTAAAAATATCTTCTTTCTGCTTCCTAGATATTTGAAGATACAAGCTAAATATAAAATTATTTATTTATTCAACAAATATTTATTGAACACTGATGATATGCCAAGCACACTTACATGATGTTACTG